AGGAGACTACTATTTTTTTCCTGTTATGATTGGCTGGGCCTGCTGCTGTTCCTAGTAAGATATTCTGAATTCCATTTTATCAATAAAGCTTGGTTTAACAAACAAGAAAAATAAATAAATCCTATCTTTAATAAACCTTGTTTTTAGGACAGAATAGGAATTATCATATAGAAATATATCCTATCCTAAAATATATTGGAGACCTAATGTCTCATTGGTGGTGCCACTCCATGTGGTCACCTTTATTCAAGATGGCGGTGGAGTCATATGACCCCCTCTTCTCCATCCTTAGTCAAAATGGTGGCTGTCCATGTGGTGTTTTCCAGAGCAGTTCCAATTTGGTGTTACCAGTTATAAGTTAACTTTTGTTACAGGTTTTTAACCGTACATAATTCCTTAGCTGTAATAAGAGCATAAAATAACCTTCTCTATCAATGCATCAGACTCAAGGCCAGAAAAACCCAGTGGAAAATTCTGAGTTCTGGCAGTTAGCCGGAATAGCAACAGCTGAGCTCTTAACAGGACACACACAAAGCATGTAAATCCAGGCATTCAAAACCAGTCAGAAACAAGCATTCAGTGACCACACATATTTACACAAGAAAACATACAGGTGTTGTACCCAAATTCTGAACCCCAAAATCACCAAGAGGTCTATTTTGATGCAAAAGCAAAAAGTCCTTTATTGTAGTTGTTTAATGAGCTAACTGCATTAGCTTGGGCCTTTCATCCATTCACTGCAGCAGATGGATGGAGAAAAGACCCCGAGAAACCATGAGGCAGGGATCTTATAGAGCAGTGTAAGGGGAGTGTCTAGGGTCCGCAACAGTCTCAGGATTGGTGCGCTTCCAGGCTTGGATGACCTGCCCTGTATTGATTGGTCAACTGGTTGTTATGGCCCATAGGCCCTCCCAGGGTGGTTGCTATGCTCTGCAGGTCACTGTTGTGCACTTGTCTGTAAAGCACACCCAGAGCTGTAAAGCACAGCCCCTCCAGCTAACTTCCCATTGGTTCCTTGCCACGAGGAGGGCATCTGACCTTAGTGACCAGGACAGGAGGGGGAAGGTCAGGCAAGCACATGTTAGCCTGTCATATTTGCTAAAACTAGGAGGGGGGCTGGTCCCTTCACAGGCAGATCCATACATACATACAAAGTAGACAGGACTTTCCTAACAGTGAAAAAGCCAAACCTTTTCACAGGAAAAGAATTTGTTAGACTTACAGCATGGTATGGTGGCAGGGCAGGCAGAAGGAACGGATCTGTCATGGAAGAATCCCTGAATGCCCAGACCAAATGCCGGGAAAGCCTGGTGAGCAAAGGGAGCGTGGGCACCCTTTGGAGGACCCTGACAAAGTATTCCAGTAAGAGAACACAGCAGGAACAAGACGTTTATTAGGGATGGGAGAAAAAACAGAAGGCCATTCTGTAGGTAAGACATGAGTAGCAGGCAGGCAGACCAGAGAGAGGAGGGCACAGGAGTGCTCTGCTCTTACCATGGATGAGGGAGCTCAAACCAATGTATGATGTGAGACAGCCCCGATTTGGATAAATTTCACAGAAGACATCCCAAGGATATCTAGGAATTGAACCTGGACCCACAAGCACCCATTCACAAGCCTTTAGCAAGAGATCGAAGCGAACAGAAAATGCCTCCAGTTCTATAAACATAGGATGGATATTTGCCTTTGTGCAGAACATCTTTCACAAAAAGGACCCCAAGGAGCAGGGACAGTACCTGCTCCCGAAGTGGGCTGGAGTTGCCTGGCACGGAAGTGGCTTGGCAGGCAAGCCAGAGGTTGGAAGAGCTTCCGGACCTCTTATTAGTGTTTTGGTTTGGGAATGGACGGCTTACTGAGCCAGGAGTCATGCAGTGTGGCAGCAGGCAAGGTAGGAGGGAGAGCGGCTCCCCATGTGTTCATGGGAAAGACTCAAATCTACCCAGGTTCCGCACCACGTTGATAAGTATTTTGAAAATCCCCAGTTGAGGGTTTTTCTGCCACGCAATAAACCAAATCCAGATGAATTAATAAGACCAGGTTTAATAAACGAGCAAAGCAACTCCGGGTGACTCTTAGGAAAGGCAACAGAAATCACGTGGCAGGTGTAGGGACCGGGTCTTAAACATCCTGTAGATATGATCTTGAGCAGTTTCGGGGAGGAGCCCCTGATGGCGGGCTTGAAGGCAGGGTCTGGAGGGGGGAGGGAGGGAGGGAGGGAGGGAGGGAGGGAGGGAGGGAGGGAGAGAGAGAGAGAGAGAGAGAGAGAGAGAGAGAGAGAGAGAGAGAGAGAGAGAGAGAGAGAGAGGACCAAAGCAAAGTTCCCAACTAAACATTTGGGCAGGGTATGGAATTTGGGGATGAGCTAGGAGTAGAGATTCCCAGCAGAAACAAACCTAAGCTATCCTCCGAACATTCATAATTAATAATGTCTCATGTCATTATTGGGTAGTCCATGGTCCCAACAAAAATGTTTGACTGTAAGGAAAAAAGGTCAGCTAAAGAAACACCCCCTGAGCAGAGTCAAAGAAACACACTTTGGTCCTGCAACCAGAACCAACAACAGGAAAAGGAATAAAGGCACCCAGCACCTTAAAGCCCTACCGTACCCATTCGAAGCCCTGACAGGTGAGACTGTCTCGCCATCATGCTTTGAAAAATCAAAGGCTGAAGATGAAGTCTTGTTCCAGGCCCAGATCCTACGTAAGATCCTTTGGACCTGACCATAGGCAATTACAAAGGTTTTTACCCAGCAGCCTCGCAGGGAAAAACTGTGAGATTTGCCCTCCCCAAACCAGACTTGGCTCTGCAAGGAACTGTGGTCAGAATTAGCCATGTTTTCCTGCATCCGAGCTGGCTGTGCTGTTATGCATACTCTGATGACACCAGGTGCATTCTAGGCAGTATGGCTATAGTCTCTTCCACGTACTCAATGAAGTAGTCCAATTGTCTAGCTCCATAATACAGCAGGATATGGTGGGTATATATCAAGTTAGGGACTTCGCCTTCCCTCTTAACGTTTACTAAATTATTCAAAAAGTTCAAAGTCTTCAAAGATGGTTATAGAACTTTTCTAACTCAGACTCTTTTTATAAGATTTTTTTATTCTTAAAAATTGTAGTTACATCATTTCCCCTCTTCCTTTTCCTCCCTCCACATCATTTTATGAACCCTCCCCAGTCCTTGCACTCTCTCAAATCCCTGGCCTATCGTTCTTACACACACACACACACACACACACACACACACACACACACTCCTAAATGTGTAAATACAACCTGCCCAGTCCAGATAAAGTTACTTGTATGTATATGACTTGTGATTTCAGGGCTGACCCCTTGGTATTGCATACAAATGAAGGGTGTCCTTTTCTAAGGAAGACTGTTTCTCCCACTTAGTTGCCTGTCATTCCTTGTCTAAGGCTGCAATCTCTTGAGCTTTCTCCCTACCATGTGAGCACGCCTGTTAGTGTTATCCTTGCTCATGTCGTGTTAGGTAGCCATGTTGACAAGACTTCATGAATGTTGCTTCTCTGGCATTTCTAGGAGATACATCACAGCAGACTTCCTGTCTCTCCAGTTCTTACGATCTTTCTGCCCCCTCGTCCTCAATGATTCCTGAGCTTTAGGTACAGGACTTGTGTTGTAGATGTATCATTGAAGCTGGGCACCACATGATCTCTTGTTCTCTGCATTTTGATTGAATGTGGTTTTCCATAGTGGTCTTTAGAGAGAAATTTCTTTGATGAGAAGTGAGGACTACGCCATATATGAATACAAGAATAAATATTTAGAATGTATTAGGAATTACACTGGTTAAGTAAAGTGGCAGTTATGGGTACTTCTCTAAGATCCATGACTTCTCTAGCCTTGGGTAGTCTGGCTAGGTTTCCAGAACCAGATAAGATTTCCCTCTTGTTGAGTAGACCTTAAGCCCAATTAGAGTTGTTGGTTACCATCAAGACATGTGTACCACTATTGCACCTTTAGTGTTATTGTGTATGACTGGTTGTTGTTGTAATTTGTAGAGAGCTGCGAAGTGTCGCACCCTTAAGATGGTGCTGGCTTCCGCCTTCTGCTAGCCCGACAGCAGGTGCTCTGTATGATAAACAACACCTGTATTTGGTTAGGGCTGGATATCAGGCTTGCTTCCGAGTACGTGGACCTATCTGCATGTTCCACGTGGCATACTGGGGTTGGCCGCCCAAGCGCTTTTAAGCTGTGGTTTGGGGCTCCCTGGCGCTCCCCGGGAGAAGAAGATTGTTCAAGGTTCCTGAATAAACTGCTTAAAGAAGAGTCTGGGCGTTGTGTCTTCCTTGCTGGTTGAGGCGTGCGCGACAGTAATTCATGTGCATCATAGCTTTGCAGGCATTTCCCCAGCTACTAGCTCAGGCTGTTAGATAAACTACCTACATTGAGCTTGTGGGTTCAGAGCTATATGTGCACCTGGAAAACAAACTGGGATGTGACTATAAATACAACCAGCCCATGTGGTTATGCAGCATGTTCTGAACCATTTTTAATCCAGACTGTTGCCCAACTCTAGAATTATAAGTAAATCCAATTAAGATCTGAAAGAAAATGAGCTAAGAAATTTCTTTTTCCATAGCTTGTCACTGCCTCAGTAACAGAAAAGTTGATGTGCTTCAATTGACTATTTATTTTTTGTTATTTAAGTGAAATGCAGCATTGACATTTTCATGCATAGGGATTCTCACCCCTTTGGTACTCACCTACTTGTGTATGAGTACTTTCATTGTGTGTGGTGTATGAGGCGGGGGTTCACACACCTGTGCATGCACCCAGAGGCCAAGGAAGGTGTCCAGTGTTTCCTTTTATCACTCTCTGACTATTCCTAGTTGAAAGAAGTGAGTCATTGCTGACACTTTCTTATCCTGTTGTTATGTGACAAAACTTTTCCTAGGAGATGCAACACACATGGCTACTCACCCCAGGTAGGAAACTGATGACAGACCAGAGTACAGACAACCACCAAAGTCCAACTTTGTGAACCAATGAATTTTATTGGGATACTTACAGGAATACTCGTGAGGGCTTACTTACGTGAGCAGAAATGACTGGAAGACAGCTGCATCACCAAAGCCCACCCAAGCATGGGTGACAGCTCACAACGCTGGGGACCTGGAGCACACTGGACAGCCTGCAGGCTGTCAACACTTTGGACACTGTCCTTTCCAGGTGCCTCGGTTGGTCTAAACCTTCCAGGCAGCTCAGCTGGTTTCTGCCTCTTCCAGGCAGCTGCTCTGGTCTCTGAGTCTTCTCTGCAGCTTGTCTCTGGGTGTGTCCTTTTCCATCCTTGTATGGTGCCTTTTGGATTTTTGTTGTTTCCTTTGAGCCAAGCCCTGCTTGAGTTGTAGGGTAGGTGAAAGTACATCACACTTGGTTGTGCCTCCAATGGTTTTCCAAATCTTCAAAACAATCAGGGATTAGCATTATATCACTATAAAATAAAACCTTTCCAGAAAACAGACAGGACAAAGCGGCATCCTGAGCCACCATCCCATAATAAATATAACCCTGGTGAAGCGCCATTGAAGTCCTTTGTCAGGTGACCCCAGAAGTTCACAACTAAGAAGATACTGAAGCAGAACACAAGCAATGCCTAAAACAGTGTGGAAAGGTTCTAGCCATTTCTATTAATTGCCTACTCCACAGATCCAAGTTGTGTACAAAGCAGGAGTGGGGGGGTGCTGATTTACTTAGTTCTCTGTAATCTGCAGGCCTTCCCTCTGAACCACTACATTTACAGGTCCTGAAGCTCTTCCACAGAGTCTCTACATTTCTCCACACCTGATAAACTCAGTGGGCCTGACTTCACCTGCTCAGGTCTACCACCCAAGGCCAAAGAGGAATACGGTATTGCTCTCCCCTGCAGAACCTGCTGGCTCCCTGGGTCAGACAGGTCCTGGGGTGGCACTGTGGATGCAGCTGTAGCAGTTGCCTCCTCCTTCACAACACCTGGCTCCTATGTGCTACGAATGGCATTTCCGTGTCAGGAGGACTCCAGGAATATCTGTGAGCTACTTTAGGATCACCTGCATTGCCAGGCATGGTGGTACATGGATATAGGTGGATCTCTGTGAGTTTGAGGCCAACCTGGTCTACATAGCAAGTTCAGGGTCAGCCAGGGCTATGTAGTGAGGCCTTATCTACAAACAAGCAAACAGAAACTATGAAACCCCACAAGACCACTTATTTGCAGACTTCTCCCATGTCAGAAAGAAAGGGGGCACATGCATATGGAACTAAAAGGGACCTCAAGCCCCTCCAAGGGGCTCTGAGAATAGAGGTTCACAGATATGGCAAAGAGGGACCAGGTTTCACGAGTTTCTTTGTTTATGAACAGGCAAGTGCTGTGCCAGGTGGCTCTGGAGGACACCAAGGCACCAGAAACTCTCCAGGCCTGCTAAAGTAAGAGCTCCCCAATGTGGAGACAACAGAGCCTACGAGTCACCAGAGGTGTCTCACCTGAGGGGATGGCCTTGTTCAAAAAGCATGAAACCTGCAAAGACAAAGGAAGGAAACCAGAGGTATGGCCACAGACAAATGCAAATGAGCCCATTGTCCAAGTTGCCCGGGACCAGGAGAAGACACAGAAAGGGGAAGGGAAATTTTCCTTCCTTCCTTCCTCTCTCCCTCCCTCCCTTCCTTCCTTCCTCCCTCCCTTCCTTCCTTCCTCCCTCCCTCCCTTCCTTCCTTCCTCTCTCTCTTCCTCTCTCCCTCCCTCCCTTCCTTCCTCTCTCCCTCCCTCCCTTCCTTCCTTCCTCCCTCCCTTCCTTCCTCTCTCCCTCGCTCCCTTCCTTCCTTCCTCCCTCCCTTCCTTCCTCTCTCCCTCCCTCCCTTCCTTCCTCCCTCTCTTCCTCCCTCCCTTCCTTCCTTCCTTCTTCCCTCCCCCATCCCTCCCTCCCTCTTTGCCTCCCTTCCTTCCTTCCTTCTTTTTTTGTGAGATAGAATATGGTATTGTTACTTAACTTGAGGGTCTCATCTTGTGCCCCAAGCCAGTTTGGCTAGCTGTCCTTAACAGGACAACAGAAAGAGACAAATCAATAGTGGAGAGCAGAAAAAGGACATTTACTCAATGTGGCCATGTTGGGAAGAGGGACCAAGAGATACAGAGCCCCCCACCACTGTGGGAACACCAGACCTTGAGCAGAGACCCACTTCCCCTTCTGTCTGGGAGTAGGCAGCTATAAGACAATGTTTAGTAAAAACATGTTTACTAAAAATGATACAATAAGTTTCTGGCCACTTCCCCTTCTGCCTGGGAGTAGGCAGCTGTAAGACAATGTTTAGTAAAAACATGTTTACTAAAAATGATACAATAAGTTCCTGGAAAAGGCCTTCCCACGGAAACCGCCCTGACCTCGACCTTGTCCAGAGACTAACCGCACCTTTAAAAACCCACACACATCCACCTCTGGTGAGAGCAGAACCAGCCAGGGTAGAGGAGAGAGCAGAAACTTCTCTGGTGGGAGCTTTTCTTAGGAAGTTTTTCTTGAACCTTTTTGGAGCCTGTTTAAAGTTCTCTTTATATCATTGAACGAGTCTCTGTCTTTTCAATACCCGACACCCTCCGCACGTTCTCGGACACAGGCCGCGCAGCAGACATGACAATTGGAGGTCCCACCGAGATCGTGAAAGCGAGGTAAGTGGACGGGGTTAAGAAACTATGGGGAATAGTTCCGGGAAGCTAGAATCATTGCAGTATCAACTAAAAAAGTTACTTAAAAAACATGGGACTACAGTCAAGTCTAAAACCCTAGAAGGCTTTCTAAAATCGATCAAACGAGCCAGTCCATGGTTCATTACTGGGGAAAGCTTAAACATTCCAGATTGGGAGGAGGTTCGCCGTGATCTTCATAAACTTTTACAAAAAGAGGGATCTGAGTCCTTGCCCCCTACGACATTCTCCTTATGGAGATTAGTGAGGGGAGCACTTTTGACAGATAAGGTTCGTCACCGCCAGGTAGTTCAGGACACAAAAGAGGCTTTTTTAGAGTTACAAGAGACTGAGACTCAAGCCTCCTTGAGTTCAGGGACAGAGAGTGATGATAAAGAGACCGTGACTGAAACTAGAGGCTCCATTGTTAGTGAGGATGAGGAGGAGTCTCTTAGTAACAACAAAAAAACGGGTAGACATCTCCGGGCGCGACCCAAAAAGAAGGACTCCGGTCAAAATCGGTTATATCCTTCTCTATCAGACCTAGAAAATGGAAGTAGCTCAGACTCAGACTCGTCACAGTCTGAAAAAAAACGGTTACTTGCTGAGATCGCGGCCCTTAAAAAAAAACTAAAAAAGATTCTAATTAAGGAAAGACAGGACAGGGAGAAAAACTCTTCCCCATACTCTAAAAAAAGGGACTCCTCCTATGAGATAACCCAGTCCTTCTTGGACCTGGCGGGAAGACCCAGAGGAGGGGTCCAATGCTGCCCGGTGGTGGCCCCAGTAATAAAAGTTCCAGACCCAAACAATTCTCGACAGGTCATTCGACGCCATGACCCTTTAAGTTTCAAAGATATAAAACAACTAAAAGAGGCAACTTTAAATTATGAAACACAGGCTCCCTTTACACTTTCCTTAATGAAATCTTTTGCGTCTCTTAATTTGACACCTGGTGATTGGCAGCAGCTTTGCAGAGCAGCTCTGTCGGGGGGAGATTATTTGATTTGGAGAGGTGAGTTTCAAAAAAGATACAGCCAGACAGCCCAAAGGAATACACAGGCCGGACAGCCCCAAAGAAATGTGGAGATACTTACCGGGAGTGGTCAATATGCCACCATTCAGCAACAAATACAATATGACATCGCAGTCTATGCCCAAGTGGCAGCAGCGGCCCAAGGGGCTTAGAAAGCATTGCCTTCCAAGGAAGGAGGGGATCATCTGTCCAAAGTCCTTCAAGGACCTTCCAAACCTTTTCAAGACTTCATAGACCGTCTCAGTCAGGTAACAAAAAAAATATTTGGGGGCATTGGGCCTGCAATGCCAGTCATAAAGCAGATGACATTTAAAAATACAAATAAATATTGTAAGGAAGCCCTTCGCCCCTATCGCAATAAAAGTCTAAATGACTATATCCGGATCTGTAGGGACATTGATGGGAACTTCATCCAGGGCCAAGTGTTAGCTGCTGCTATTCGGCCCCAAGTGGGAAAAGAAAGACCTACTCTGGAAAGGAGAAAAACATGTTTTAGCTGCGGTAGGGAGGGACACTTCCGTAGAGAGTGCCCTCAAAATAGTACTACGGGTCTCAAGAGACCTGGTTTATGCCCCCGTTGTCAAAGGGGATATCATTGGGCCAATAACTGCTACTCTAAAACTGACCGGGAGGGAAATTTCCTTTCTACTAATAATAATCAGGAAAACGAGAGGAGGGCCCCGCCCCAGGGCCCCAAAACCAATGTGTACGGGGCAATGACCCCTGCTCCGGACAGTGACAGGATTCATTTTCTCCCCCAGAGCAACCCCTTCATATCTCAGACCTCCTTAGAGTCACCTCGGGGAGTGCAGGATTAGACCTCGCTCCCTCTGCCCGGGCAATCCTAACACCGGAAATGGGGATCCAGGCCCTCCCTACTGGGGTGCATGGGCCATTGCCCCCAGGCACGGTCGGACTACTTTTGGGACGGTCCAGTACTATTCTTCGAGGCATCCAGGTACACCCCGGTGTTATAGACCAGGATAGTGAGGGGGAGATTAAAATAATGACATCAGTGGGCAGTGGGGTTGTTGCCATCCCTGCAGGAGAACGGATTGCTCAGATACTCCTTCTCCCTACAGCTCCTTGTGAGGCTAGAAAAATTAAAAAAAAAAAAGGGGCAACCAAGGTTTTAAAAGTACCGGCCCGGCAACATTTTGGGTAGCTACTATGGAGAACCGCCCCCAACTTACATTAAAGATAGAAGACAAGTCCTTTAGGGGCGTCTTAGATTCTGGGACAGATTTCTCTGTCCTCTCAGATAAATTCTGACCCCCCACCTGGCCAAAAGAGAAAGGGACAGTGACCCTCCAGGGAATAGGACAGGCTGTGCCCCAAAAAAGCCTCAAAATCTTAAAGTGGCAAGACTCTAAAGGCCACACAGGGCTTTTCCAGCCATATGTTTTGCCTGGCCTCCCTATTAACCTCTGGGGACGGGACCTCATACAAGAAATGGGAGTAGTCCTCACCACTCAGGCACCCAAGTCCAAAAGCAGGGGCCCCCAGATGATGCAAGGGAGGGGCTGGAGCCCGGGGAGGGAACTAGGTAAACTAGAACAGGGAGAGGTTTGCCCTGTGACATCCCTCCCTTTGGAGACCAGGGCCCCAGGGGATAGGAAGGGTTTTGGCCATTTTTGATGAGGGTCACTGTTGCGCCGCCAGCCCCCATACCCATCACATGGCTATCAGATGATCCGGTATGGGTGGAACAGTGGCCCTTACCAGCGGAGAAACTAAGGGCGGCTCACCAGCTAGTTCAAGAACAATTGGAGGCAGGTCATTTGGTTCCTTCCACGTCCCCTTGGAATACCCCTATATTTGTAATAAAAAAATCTTCAGGGAAATGGAGGTTACTACAAGACTTGAGGGCTGTGAATGCGACCATGCAGCCTATGGGGGCTCTGCAGCCTGGCTTGCCCGTGCCTGTGGCCATTCCTAAAGACTGGCATTTGATTGTTATTAATTTGAAGGATTGCTTCTTTTCTATTCCCTTACATTCTCAAGATAGTCCTCGGTTTACATTTAGCCTTCCTGCGATTAACTTTAGGGAGCCTGCCCTTCGCTTCCAATGGGTGGTGCTCCCCCAAGGGATGGCTAATAGTCCAACTATATGCCAGATTTATGTAGCTGCCTGTTTAGATCCCCTCAGACGTAAGTTCCCTGATCTTTACATTATCCACTACATGGATGATATTCTTTTGGCTGCGGCCAAAGAAAGACAATGTTACATAGCCTTTGCAGAGCTACAGGAACTTCTGGAGGCCCGAGGATTTATTTTGGCTCCTAAAAAGATCCAAAAGAGACCCCCTTATACTTATTTGGGTCATCAAATTCAACAAACTGGCCTCCGGCCACAAAGACTCCAAATTGATTGTTCAAATTTAAAAACACTTCATGATTGACAGAGATTCTTGGGAGAGGTGCAATGGTTTCGCCCTTCTCTTTCTATTAAAACAGGGGCTCTTAAAGCGCTTTATGATATTCTTCCTGGAGATCCTGCTCCAACTTCCCCTAGACAGATTACCCCAGAGGCCAGGGAAGCCCTACAATTGTTGTTAAAAAGTATAGAGCAAGCCTACCTTCGGCGTATAGATTATGGGCAGCCCCTTGTTCTGGTTGTACTTTCATCTAGCTTTTCGCCCACTGCCGTGTTTTGGCAGACTGGTCCTATTTATTGGGTACATTTGTCAGCCTCCCCTAAGAAGGTAGTGACCCCTTACTATGATCTCATTTTACAATTGTTGTGGAAGGCACACAAGTTTAACATTCAAACCTTTGGAAAGAGTCCTAATAAAATTATCCTTCC